TACCGGTGCAGAACCTTTTAGTGGCACGCAGTACCGGACTGTAACGGCTTGCTCCAGTAGTCCTCTGTGCAGCCTTCACCACTCTCTGCAGAGCTTTCCTCCATCCAGCAGAGCAGCCCCCGTGCCATGGGTTGTGGCAAAGTTACCGGAGTTGGTGGCACTTTTGAGCTGACATGTTTATTAGCCGTGGTCATCATCTTGAATTGTCGTGATTCCTACAGGTAAACAACTGTCGATGTTCATCCAATCATTACTTTTTGAGGATGTCATTAAAACCCTTCCAGTGGTTCACCAGATATTTTGCTAACAGACAGACAAACTGAACACAGACACAATCCCCTCCTTTTCATTTTGTTGGGTGGAAGAGCTCAAGCCACAAAAAATTCAAAACAAAATTAAAGCTGCAAGCAGCATTAAAGGCCCTCGCAGCAAAGCGCCGCTCCGGCCTTACAGCGACTGCGGGATCTCCAGCAACTCTGCCCAGTGGCCATTGCAAATGCTCTCACGCCCGTCCCCTGCTCGTTCACCAGGTTGCACATTTGCCGAACCTTCAACATCACCTGTGACTGTGGGCGCTTCAGCAACACCTCCCAGTCGCCATCGCGAACGCTCTCATGCGATTCCCGCATGCGTCCACCAGGGTGCGCATATGCCGAATCTTTGCAATCACCTTCCGTCCATATCAGTATGAATCCAGCTGTAAGCCTTACAAGTTTGGCTAAAATCTGACCTTCCAGACAGGAGTTATTGTCACTTCCTGTTTTGTTGCGAGTGTCAAGGACTTCCTTTAGGCTTTTCAACATGTCATATGTGGTAATCAACAGTTAGCCAATATGGTTTAAATCTTATAGGTTACACAGTGCCAAGCTGGAAGAGTCACCCAACAATCATCAGTTTCTTCTCTGAGTGGGCCAGGCTTAAGTCAAGTCATGAACCAACAATATTAAGGTGTCTACAAGTGGTCACTTATGAACCACAAAAAGTCTGGTCTTCATCAGATGATGTATCATTGAGATATAACTGTTGGAATGATGTAGGGGCGAACATGAGTGAAATGTTTAACAAAAATACCAATGTGTTTCGAAGTGCTAACTGATCACTCATAAAATCAGGTACAGATCGGATGATGTATCACTGAAATATAACTTTTGTAATTAGCTAAGGGGCACACTAGAGTCAAATGTTAAAGAACAATACCAATTTATCTACAAGTAGACGCACAAAAAAAACTGGTGTAGATCGGATGATGTATCACCTTGATATAACTTTTGGAATAATCTAGGGGGCGCACTAGAGTTAAATGTTAAAGAACAATACCAATGTATATAGAAGTGCTCACTGATCATGCTCAAAAATCTGGTGCAGATCGGATGATGTATCACCTAGGTATAAATGTTGGAATAATCTAGGGCGCGCACTTGAGTGAAATTTTAAACAACAATACCAATGTGTCTAGAAGTGCTCACTGATTAAGCACAATAAATCTGGTCTAGATCAGACAATGAATCACTGATATAACAGTTTGAACAATGTAGGGGGCGCACTTGAGTCAAATGTTAAACAACAATACAAATATGTCTTCAAGTGCTCACTAATGATGCACAAAAAATCTGGTTCAGATCAGATGATATATCACAGAGATATAACTTTTAGAATAATGTAGGGGTCGCACTTGAGTGAAATGTTAAAGAACAATACCAATGTGTCTATAAGTGCTCACTGATCAACTGGTGCTTCTGGTAAGATGGCGCCCATGTACATGGCTTGCAATCCACCTCTGCTGATGGTGTTCGGATTATTTGCATTTTGTTATTTTTTCATCTGGGACATAAACTCGCTGCTGGTGTATGACTGACAACAGCTTCTGAATCTTCGATTTTCTGCCGCCGATGTCACTTATTTGGATCATTATGAGCGTACCTCTGGACCCCCCCTCTTCCCCCGATGCTGGCGGACGTGCCTGTTTACCTCCGCTGCGCTCCTCACCTGCCTGCCCAGAGATATCGCTACATACGCCGGGGAAAACGTGCTGGGTGGCTGGTAAATCTTAAAGCCCTGCACGATGCATCTTCCTCTCCAGCTGGTGGTCATGGTTTCCATTGCCAGCTTTCTGCGTGCCCGGACCAGGTAAACAACGGGAGTTGTCGGCCGGTGCGCCGTATGGGCCAACCCGGAGGGGCTGTTATTGAAAATCTGCGGCCACTGGCGCACGCTAACTCCACCGCTGCTAGGTCCACTTTGGACAGTATCCGGATGTGTTTGGTCAACGCAAGATTTGTTACCAACAAAACTTTTATCCTCAGAGACTATTTTCAAGAGCACAATTTGGACTTTCTCTGCATCACAGAGACTTGGATGTCTCCGGGTGAGTCCAGCGCCTTGACGGAATTATTGTCACCGAACTGTTTATATTTTAACGCACCACGGCCATCAGGCCAGCGCGGTGGTGGATTATTAAAAATATTTAAATCAACTTTTGACTGTAAACAACTGCCCATCCCAGTTTCCCACGCCAGCTTTGAGCTGAGCGTCTTTGAACTAGGCCATTCGCCTTCGACTTTATGTGCACTCGTCTATCGCCCACCTCGTTCTAAGGATTTCATTAATGAGTTTTCTGATTTCTTGGCTGAAATCACACCAAAATATGATCATGTTTTCATTATTGGGGACTTTAATTTGCATATGTGCTGTCAGGAGAAGCCCTTGGTTAAGGACTTTTTAGATTTATTGGACTCATTTAATCTAACTCAGCATGTAAATGGTCCCACCCAAGAGTGCGGACATACACTGGACCTTGTTTTAACACATGATGTGATTGTTAGTAATCTTGAAATTGGTGATAATGTTTTTTCAGATCACATGCCAGTCCGGTTTGAGTTCACCCTCCCCCATCTAACTCCTAAGCCGTGCGTTTCTGCACGTAGTAGCCGGACCATTAACCACTTCACTGCCGCACATTTCACAGATGCTTATAACTCTGAAATGATCATTCAGCCCCCGGTGTTTCTCACCACCACTGAGGTGCTGACATCCCAGTTCAACTCTGTCTGCTTAAAGACTATGGATCATGTCGCGCCTGTTAAAACTAGAAAATCAAAACTCAGAGCAGAACCTTGGCTGAGTGACGTCACCAAGGCCGTTAGGCAGCAATGAAGGAGGGCGGAGCACAAATGGGGGAAAGACAGGCTGCAGGTCTCTTTTCAAATACTTAAAGAGAGTTGGCACCGTTATCAGAAAGCAGTAAAAGCTGCTAAATCCAAATACTTTTCTGATATCATAACCTCAAACTCTCACAACCCATGTGTTCTCTTCTCTACCCTAAACTCTGTTCTCCACCTCACTGAACCATTACCTCTGGAAGCCTCGACTGAGCTGTGCAAGAACTTACATTTCTTTTTGGAAAAAATTGCAACCACCTGGGCTCTCATTTCCCCTCCAACTCATGACCCATCCATCCCACCTCAATCTGTAGCTCTATTTGACCATTTTGAACCCATCACTCTGTCTTCTCTAGAGCAGGTCATGTGCAGCTTGAAACCTTCTGGTTCCCCCTTTGATGTGATCCCCCCTCGACTACTAAAGGAGGTTTTTCCTACTCTAGGTCCATCCATTCTTGCTATTGTAAATAGCAGTTTATCCACTGGTGTGGTGCCAAAAACCTTTAAACATGCTGCTGTCCAGCCTCTCCTGAAAACAAACAAACCTTGACCCCTCAGTCGTATCCAACTTCCAGCATGTCTCCAGACTCCCATTTGTTTCGAAACTACTGGAAAAAATAGTTGAGTCCCAGTTGTGCTTTCTGGAGGATCACACCATCTTAGAACTATTCCAATCTGGCTTTAAACCTCTCCACAGCACTGAAACTGCCCTACTGAAGGTTTTTAATGACATCTTCAAATTCACAGATACCGGTGATTCTGAGCTGCTTGTCCTATTGGACCTTACAGCTGCCTTTGACACCATCGACCATGAGATCCTCATTGCTAGGTTGGAGCAGTGGGTGGGCATAATAGGGTCAGCCCTCAATTGGTTCAGATCCTACCTCGCTGACAGATCCTTCTGTGGCTCCATCAAGGATTTTAGTTCTGCAGTGGCAGAGCTTAAATGGGGGGTTCTGCAGGGGTCCATCCTGGGTCCCCTCCTATTCTCTTTATACCTGCCACCACTTGGTGCTATTTTCCGGAAACACAACATGTCCTTTCACTTTTATGCCGATGACTGTCAAATTTACTTAGGGACCATTCAATGTAAAACTTTACACTTCCTGTTGGCAAGGGGCGTGGCTTAAGTGATGTCATGATTTGACCATTCAGTCTTGCAGGGGACCGGATGTGGATCAATCACTTAAGGTTTGATGTCTCAGACAGTTTTTGTGTAGGAGCTATTAAGAGTTTCGTTTTTCATGGCAAGATGTCAAACTTTGAGGTCTGGCCCCACCCCTTCAGCATGGTCCGAAACAAACCGTTTTGATAACTTTGCGTCCCCCATGCCTTTTGACCAAAATGACCAAGTTTGAAAGTGACTGAGCAAAATTCCTAGGAGGAGTTTGTGCAAATGTGGAGGCTGTAAACCGCCAAAAAGGTGTGAAAATTAGGCCGGCATTCCAAAATATCCGCCTTCCTGTTTATCATACAACGTTGGTACCAGAGGGTTTTCCCCCAATCTTGGGGAATTGGACAAGTGTACCAAATGTCATGTTTCTACGACCAACTAAGGTTAATGCGGAGGGTATTTTGAAAATTTCTAGGTGGCGCTCTTGATCTGTTTCTGTTGCGATTTTTGCCACGCCCTTAAAATACGTAATTTTTCACCAGTCCTGATGCGTCCGCCAAATTTGGTGACTTTTGGGACATGTTAAGGCCCCCCAAAACGCAAATTCATTTAGCGGAAAAAACTGCAGTTCGGGCTTGAACAGAGCAATTACAATAGGCCTTCGCAGCGCTTCGCTGCTCGGCCTAAAAACAAAATGAGTAGAAACAACTTAGGTTTTAGTTTATTACCTTGTGTGAGTGACGATGTCCGTGAGCGCTCCCCCTTCCAGGAACTCCATGACCACCCACAGCTCGTCCCCCACCAAGTAACTGTTGTACATGTCCACAACATTTTCATGATGGTAGTCCCTCATGATCACCACCTAAGGGGGAGACAAACAGATGGAACGAGTTGTCAACATGTTTGACTTGATGTGCTAATAAGCAAACGTTGGCCAGAGTACCATGTTGATATGTGAATGTTACAGGAAAATCCAGTGAAATAATTTTACACACATGTAGTTATTTTAAGACGTTAAACTTCTAATCTGGTTTGTTCCAGAAAGTTTGCTGATTTTAAACCAAATGCAAAACTGCAATTAAAAACGCTTTAAGTGCACAAACCTAAAACGAAACCTGCATCAGCAGTTAGAAAACGTGTTGCTTTGCGCGTTTAAAGTGAAAAACAAGTCGTCCACTAGTTTAGTAATTTAATAAATGCACCTGATAATTAAATGTTATTCATTTGACTCCCTTTTGTCTGACGTGTGCACGTTACGGAGGCTTAAACAGACGGATTACATTCAGACATTAACAGGATTACACGAGGCAAATTGCTTCCCGAGTGAACTCCCACCGCCACACATCTGTGCTCTCTGCACACGTGCGCTCACGTACGTGTGCACTTCTACGCAGCACGCTGAAATTAGAACCGCCGTTAAACATCTCAAAAATATCAGCAAATTGACTTGTCGGCTCTAAGGCAAATGACATGTGGCTAATATTTCCACTGCAGGCCCACCGTGCACGCGCTCAGCTCAGAATAAATTTCTTGCCTGCAGCTTTCAGCGGAAACATTTGTTAATTTTAGAAAATAAACGCAATTACAGATGCAGAATTGGGTAAGCGGCTTAATTGCTGTGACTGTATGTCAGTGAAACAGAAGCAAATTGAACTTGTGTTTTGTTTTGCTTTTTTCCCATTAATTGCCTTGCAATATATTTTTAATGTATTCCACATAAAGCGACATGTTTAATGATGCTGTTCAAACCAAAGACAGCTCTGCTGCTGCTTGTTCGAACCGTCAACAACCTGTGACAAATGTTAGCTGCACGAAATACACCCAGCGCGTTTATTCATCATCTCCAATCGGAAGTCATTCTTCCTCACCTCGTTGAAGAGCAGCTCTCTCCTCTGCTGCTTCCTCAGGTCCATCTTCTTCACTGCCACCTGCTTGCCACTGTGCTTCTCGCTGGCGATGCACACGATTCCCGTGGAGCCCTCGCCGATCTTGATGAAGTTGTCCAGATATTCCCGAGGGTCGCCTGGTGGCAAACACAACCGCAATCTCCGCTTTAGTGCTACGCTAAGAGCGCCGTGGTGCCGCCTTGGCGTTTCTAATCTACATTTCCCACCTGGGTTGACCACCAGCTGGAGTGCGGCTCTGAACTGCTCGTGGGAGACTCTGGAAGGCTGAGTGTCAGAGCTCGACCCCCACGAAGGAGGAGGGTAAGCCCCCGGGGGGATGTAAGGGGATGACGGTTGTGAGTAGGCCCCCTGGATAAAAACAATCACAGGTTTACACACTGATTTTGTGACTGTTTAAGGGAAGATGTGAGCTTAAAAAAGTCTAATCAAACTGTACCTGTGGGGTGTATGGTGGGCTGGGCTGGGAGGGGGGGTGGTGGTAGGGCGAGGGCTTGTAATGGTGGAACATAGGGGGGTACGGCAGGTGCACTGGGGGGTAGCCAGGTGGTTTTGTATGGCTTTGAGGTAGCTTAAGAGGCCCTCGAAGGTAGGTGTCACCACCTGCGACCTGGGGGATTTCTTCACGAGCTGGACGCTCATAGTCGCCCTGGAAGAGGAAAAAACAAAGAATTAAACGAGCAGTGAAACGTCGCCAGGTTTAATCCAGCTGATAATCCAACATCCTGCTCAGGTCAGGCTAAAATAATGTCACAGACGTGGCGTCATGCATCTAAACACAGCGTTTGATGTGCTTTTACTCAGAAACTGTCTCCTCTTCACATGGAAAAGGTGCGAGCAGGGAAACAAGGAGGTAATGTAAAGTTGTAGCTCATAAAGCAAATGTTGAATTTTCCTGTGGTGTGAGTAATGAAGGATAATATTGTGTTGGATGTCATCAACGGTCGCACAGTTTGTCTGCAGACGCATTATCCTTAAACAGATACAACGAGAACAGTTCGTCCGCAGGACAGAAACCATTTTTTATCGTTAACGCCTCACAGTGCTGCTCTGTGACTGTTCATTCATCAACAGAGAGCCCAGGCAGTCACCCCTGGGGCACTCCTCCGCTTTAAGAGACGCCTGCCTTCCCCTCTTAAATTGGGTCAAACGATGAATATGTGTACAAATACACAACACAAAGAGTGGAAATGCAGACAGACTCAAAGTATTTACCTCACCTTAAATTATATGTTTTGAGCTTAATCAAATCAGATGCAATGGTGATTCATTACTAATTTTTATACTTAGTGGAACATTTGTACTGAGTACTTACAGCATAGTTAAACTGTGTAACATGTTGTGTATATAACAGTGTTAAATTACATCTTTAGTTGTGTACTAAAAATGATCTTGTTTTGCTGATAGGCTGTACAAACAGTTGACACAAATGTAAATGGTAAATGGACTGTACTTATATAGCGCCTTTCCAGTGGTGGAGAAAATCCTCAAACACTGTACTTAAGTAAAAGTTCAAATAAACAGACAAAAATGTACTTTAGCAAAAGTAGAATTACCACATTAACATTTTTACTTAAGTAAATAAGTACTTACTTTTAAAAATACTTAAAGTATTAAAAGTAAAAGTACTTGCTGAATGTATTATCTAACGCTACAATATCAAGTGTACCTACCATATGTATATTTTCTGTAATACATTAATAGTGTTGTGTCATTTTAATGAACGATGCTGCAGATAATGTTTTTATTGTGTTTACTCTGTGACACAGTTCACACTTGGACTTGTGATTTCAGGGATGAGTTAAATGTCATTAAGCAAAATAAGAAAGAGGAATGATTATACCTTTGAAAGTTTTTATTTAACACAAAGCAAAACCAATGTGTCATTTTAACTGCAGTAAACACATTTAAGTAAAAGTTGTCTGCCTGAATAAAGGAGCATTAGACACATCTGACAAAGGAATATCTGATCATTTCAACTCCAGTTTGTCATAAACTCTAGTTAAAATACTAAGTCGACCTTGTAATGGATCGATGGTGAACAACATTTTAACTTCCTGACACCATTTTCAAAACTTGGACCTGAGTGTTGAGTCATTTAGAGACATCTCTCATCTCCTGTCCTAACATCCCATGAACTGACACATGTACTTAAGTACAGTAACAAAGTACTTGTACTTATTTACATCCCACCACTGCACCTTTCTATCTTCTCAAGATACTCAAAGTGCTTTACAATCTGTGCCTCATTTACCCATTCATACAGAACTCTACCAAATCTCTACAAAGATTAATCAGAGCTTTATCACATTCATACACCCATGGGACACACATCAGAGACAATGAGGCGTTCAGTGTCTTGCCCAAGGACACTTCAATATGTGACTGCTGGTGGAATCAAACCCCCAACTCTCCCATTGGAGGACGACCACTCTAACCACTCAGCCACAACCGCCAGAGAAATATGAAACAAACCATCAGAAATCAATTTAAATTGTGCTACACCTTCTGTAACTGATGGTTGAACAAAATGAATTCCATCCATCCATCCTTTTTTTTTTTTCACGGGGGTTGTGTAAGAAGTGGGGGACACCCTGGACACGTCTCCAGTCCTTCACAGGGACATATGGAGACAAACATCCATTCACACTCTCACCTGGGACAGTTTAGAGTTACCAGTGAACTTAACTTGCGTGTGTTTTGGTCTGTGTATGGGGAGAACATGTAAAACGCCACACAGAAAGGCCGGGGGGAGAACCTGCGACCTTCTTGATGCAAGGCGACAGCTCTAACCACTGCTCCACCGTGATGCCAAACAGTGTTTTTTTTCTTCTTTTCTTATGAATTTTGAGGTCAGGTTTAATAGAAAACCTTTTAGCTCCCTGTGTTTGCTTCTCTCTTTGTGCCGCTGCTATCTGTCTGCACACTGACAGGGGAGCGCACATACATACACACCCACATGCGTGTGTACAGTCAGGGCAGGAGGAGGAGCCCTGATGTGTTGGGATGGTGTATAATTACATGGTGTGGACTCTTTTAATCAATCAATCTGAGGCAGGTGTGGGAGGGAGGGGTGAAGGCTGCTGGGCGCCCCGTTCTCATGTCTCCCCCCCCATCATCACCCCATCGTTGGCCAGCATTGCTAGCTGGCTGTCAGCCAAGGGTCTCCTGATCCATGTTGGTTAAACGCACATTAATCTGAGTTTGGCAGGGTAATCAACAACCTAACTCAACTGTGAAATTGAATTCGGCGGTGGAACACCGTGCGGCCAGTTTTTATGCTAAGGCTGCAGAAAGGGAAAGTGCCGCAACATCAATTTGTCACTGAGAGCTGCAGCTCCGAGCTCACACCCACCACGACACACACACAGGAGGCAGAGAGATCTACGGTTACATCCCCAACAGCTCCCAACAATAACAGGATTCACTTCAGAGGTGTGAGCCCAGGGAGGAGGAGGCAGACAGTGAAGGAAGACAGGGGAGGGCCAGGAGATGTAGTGAATATTATACAGTAAGTAGGCAGAGCTTTTTTATTCATCACTACTAGAAGACCTCAAAAAACAAACAAAAAAGGAAACGTGCAAATGGAGTCGCATTGTAAACAGAAATACTCTAAAATAAGAACACATGTTCCTAACCATGCTGTGTAAGCACCATTTTCTGACCACCAATAAATGAAGTGCAGTAGAGTAAGACCTTAAAGCAGTATCTTGCCTGTTATAGATAGCTCTTTGTACGATTTCCGATGAAAAAACAGAGTTATTTAACACTGGCCTGACGAGCTAAAGGCTAGTCTGACTGAGGCCAAGACCAAAGGGGATTGTTGTTGTTTTATGGTTCTTTGCAAGCACAAATAGTGACAGCGGCAGCTAGTTGTAGCACTTCTAGCAGATATATCACAGTATTTTTGCTAGGATGACCCTTGATATGAAATTAACGAAAATGCAAAAGTTTGTCAGACAATCCAAAAAAGTTCAATCTGGTTCTCTGGACATTCAAAAAAACAAAAAACAAAACAAAGCAAAAAAATGTAGAAACGTTTCGTCTCTCATCCGAGAGACTTCCTCAGTCTGAGGTGCTGTTTTCAGCTCAGTCTCTTAAATAGCACCTTCTCAGAGTGGATCAATCATCCTAACTGGGCCTTCCTGAAAGCAAAGAAGAAACCCAAACAGGACTCCAGTCAGCCATCAGGTGAAAAGGAGGAACCCAGACCAGTGGTCATTCCATATGTTGAGGGAGTATCAGAGAAACTGAGACGTTTATTTTCTAAACATAACGTCCCAGTGGCTTTTAAACCCCAAAATACGTTACGGCAAAGACTGGTTCATCCCAAAGATCCAGTCCCCCGGCACAAACAGAGTAATGTTGTGTATGCTGTTCAGTGTCAGGAGGGTGATCAGTCTTACATCGGGGAAACTAAACAGCCACTGGCCAAAAGGATGGCCCAGCACAGAAGATCAACATCATCAGGCCAGGACTCTGCGGTCTACACTCATCTCCAGGCCAGCGGTCACTCTTTCAGGGATGAAGATGTTCACATCCTGGATAGAGAGGAACGATGGTTTGAGAGAGGAGTAAAGGAGGCCATCTTTGTGAAAATAAATTGTCCATCCTTAAACAGGGGTGGAGGCCTCCGGGTCCAACTGTCCCCCTCTTACACTGCTGTGATTGCTAGTATCACTCAGCCCTCTGTGAGTAGTAAACAGCCATCAGTGTGCTAATGATCCATTGTTAGGCTGATGGTCCTTCTTGAGCATGTGATCAGTTGGTTTTGGTTGTCAGCAGCAAAACTGGTTGATCCACTCTGAGAAGGTGCTATTTAAGAGACTGAGCTGAATACAGCTCCTCAGACTGAGGAAGTCTCTCGGATGAGAGACGAAACGTTTCTACATTTTTTTGCTTTGTTTTGTTTTTTGTTTTTTTGAATGTCCAGAGGACCAGATATAACTTTTTTGGATTTTTCTACCTGGATTATTGAGCATGCATCAGGATATTTTGTCAGACAATGTTTGCATAAACAGGTGTGTAAATTTTGAGCTGTTAAAGGACATGTGGAAGGGCATTGAGTGCATCACAGAATATGGAGGCAGCACAGCTGCAGAAAGAAAAGCTCTGCAGAGAGTGGTGAAGGCTGCACAGAAGTCTGTTGGAGTCAGTCTCCCCACCATCACAGACATTTACACCTCTAAATGCAGGAAGAGGGCTACTTGCATCATGAAAGACCCCACACACCCAGCACACACACTTTTTGCCCCGCTCCCCTCAGGAAGGAGATTAAGGAGCATTGAGTGTAGAACCACTAGACTGAGGAACAGCTTCTACCCCGAAGCTGTTAGACCCATGAATCTCTAACCAGAATAATCACTGTAATGACACCTTAATTTGTGATATGTGACTTTTCTGTGCTGATTATCCATGCTGCTGATCTCATGCTGCTGATTATCTCATGCTGCTGTATTCTTTCATACCTATCTGCTCACCACAGACTCATGTTCGGGCTGCCGTTGTTACGACATATTGTTTTACATTATTAGTGTTTAGCATATATCTTAGATCTTTTAGCGTACCGCTTGGCGTTCGTTTAGCGTATATCTTTGATCCTTATATACTGTTTCTTTGTATACTTTGTATTTTTGCTATTTTTTGGTG